TAAGAGGAGGTTGGATGACCACCTTACTGGGGTCATTTGACCCCAGTGCTCTTCCTGCCATGGCAGGGGGTCGGACTAGATGAGCTGCTCAGGTCCCTTCCGACCCTAGAAACTATGAAACTATGAAACTAAGTATCTTTCTGGAAACTGAGGTAAGGCTGACTGGTGTATAAATTCCTAAGTTTTTTTCCCCCCTTTTTTGAAGATAAAAGGGACTTACTTCTCCTCCATGTTGTAGTGATAGTTATAATTTAGAGATGCTCTCTAATTTAAGAGTTGGTAATTGAGAAATGGTCCCTCAGCTAAGTAGTTAACTAGCTAGTTGGTCGGTGAGAGGCAGACATGGTGGCTGTAGATGTTGTGTAATGCTCCATGTGGCAGGGAACCCATACCCCTGCTACTAGAAGTGAGAGTATGCAGCACCACAGAAGGTCTAGCTGCAGGGCAGCCACTCTATTGCCTGGTGAAATAGGCAGCAGGTAATGGGAGGTAAAGCAGAAGGCTAGAGCAATAAGTCTGTTAAGTGGAAGAGAAAACCCCTGATCCTGGTCCTGAAGGCCAGTGGTTAGGTAACCAGAAGGGGGGGAGAAGAAGGGCTATATAAGCCTAACCCAGGACCAGAGGCTCACACTGGCCCTGATTCTGAATAGAGAAGAAGCCTGACTAGCCATTCAGGATGGTTAGGAAGCCAAGGAAGGGTGCTTGGGAGATGCCCTGTATTAGGAAAGGCTAAGGCCCTGGGGAAGAGCCCTGCCAAGGTGTGGGACCCAGGAGACTGCATTGGCCTGAAGCTGGGCAGAAGAGAGAAAAAGGGGGAGAGAAAGAGAGAGAGGACCCAGGGCCCATTATTGAGATGCTAAGGCAGAAGGAAAGACCTCAGTAAGGGTTTAGGACCCAGAGGGCTGTGTGGTGCTAAAGCAGAGCAGAGAAGAGCAAGAGAGGGAAAAATATCCTGCAAGAGTCAGGGGGGCCCTGCAACAACTGTGTGGGCAGAAGTCAAATTCTGCAATGGCCAGGGCCCCAGAATACACAGAGCACTTAAGGCAGTCAAGGCCTAAGCATCCACATTTTAGGGATGACAAGCTGTGAGACACAAAAGCAAGTGAAGCAGGACTGGAGGGCCTGTGGACAAGGGAAAGACCAGTAGCATAACATCTTATTCAGGCAGGAATCAAGGCCAGAAGGAGGACCAGGGATGAACAAGACAGAATGAAGCACCAAGGGCTTACTCTGGTCTCTGACAGCAGACTCACATATCTTGTGTAGACATTAAGGTATGGCAGAAAAACATAGGGCAGGGACCTGAGACACCAGTGGGACAGGACAGGAATCGGAGTGTCCTCTAGAGGATGCCACAGCCTTCCTCTGGAGGCAGATCCAGTCACACTCCATAAATGAAAGCATATTGTTCTTCTCATTTATGTATGCTTGTGTTTATTAAACACATTACACATGTGTTCTCAAAAATTATTGCTAATGATAATAATAAGATAGCTCCTGAAGCACTTCATGATAAATTTCATCAGGTCCTGTTGAGCTGAATATGGCTAATTTATCTAAGTCTTCTTTAACCTTTTCTTTGCCCTATTCTGTCCTGTGTTACTACACTCTTCTCGTTAATATTCATTATGAAAATTATCTGGTCACAATTAACCTTTTCTGTGAAGCAAAAACTCTTGGCTAATTATGCCTCATTATAGAGTACACTATGAATACATGTATTTGTAGCATGGTGAAGTAGGTGCATACGTTCCCTGGCTTGTCCAAAGGGCACATCACCTCAGTTACTGAATCAGAACCACACTTTTCCAGCCCTATACTTTAACTTCATGACTGCCCATCCTGTTACTCCTCCTATATGTATGTGTGTGACATTAGTTTAGAAGGTGCAACTTTGGGTGCCTATACACATGCAGTGATGCTGCTCTGACACACTGTAATTACAGTAATTGAGTCTGCTGGAGCGTGGTGATTACTATGCTCCAGCAGACTCGTGTCATGTGTATCAGTTTCTCTGTGCTGATAAATAGCAGTGGGTGTGGTTTAAGTAAAGCTTGTTCCATGAGTTTTAGTTAAAGCATCCCCGCCACAATTTTTATCATGGAAACACTGATACACGTGATGTTTCAGGCACTTTAATTTGAGCAGTTCTCGGAAGTGCTCTAATTAAAGTGCCCCTCCCCCCAGCCCCACCCCAGCCTTGAAGCACATGTATAAATGCCCTTTGTGTCTATACTAATCAAATTCCAAACAAAAGGATGAGGCTGAAGATATATTCAACACACATAAACATATCCAGATGTCAAGTTCCTGGACATTTGTGTGTAGGCAGACATGAGATTTTGAATCAGGTTCATTTCTTGTATTGCCAAGAAATTGGTGCCACACTTGTGAGGCAACACTCAGTGAACTGTAGGGCTCAAACCAGAATTGAGATCATACTTGCCTTATACACAGTTCCAAAGGCTCCAGAGCCAAGGACCTTGACTCGCTTTAGCTCCGTTTCCTTCAGAATACGAAGTTGTGCTTGGTTTGGTGCAGTACCACTTGGTGTCAAGGGTTCCACTAGCTGTAAATCAAAATGCAAAAGGATTATATCCTAGATACAGAAAAAGTTGGTGGACATTCCTAAAAAAATCTCACCGTGTTCCTCAGTTCCAGGTAGTCAACTAAATATTGGAATAGAATAGTAGACCTGAAGAAAAATGTCTTGCATTCAAAAGTTAGTCTAACTCTTATCTCAATTATGCAGTTAATTCAATACAAAATATCATCGAAAGAAATCCTTGCCTCTTGCCTATTACTTTAGTTATACTAAGGCTATTTGTTCTTCAAATAAAACATGTTTAAACCAGTAAAAACCAACAGAGACTAGTTGAAAGATCCTAGCAGGGTATACCATAATTTCCACTAGGGGTTGCATGATGGAATTATGAACAGGAAATTGAATCAGTGTCATAATATGTCCCCAAGGACATTTTCCTAATGGAGGCAATACAAATATTTTCTACATGACAGAAATACAGCATTTATTATCAGTGCACCACATTCTATTTTTGCCCATTTTAGTGCCCTTTTAAATTGGCTATATTTCTTTTTAATAACCGTGACTTAATGGTTCATCAAACTCTTATTCTGTTTTGAGGGTAGGGAACATTCTTCTAGGCTTTAGCTGCATCTCACAGGAGGACAGCTTATTCCAAACACACCTCCAGGAGAACAAGAATATACAGCTGCTGCTAATGTACTACAAACAAAGGAATGGCTAAACTCTTTGCCCGAGATTGTGAATTGCGATCCAAGTTTGTGGATGAAGTACAAGAGACTGTCAGGTCAAAATGACAGTGGGTCTTTAAAAAAATACAGCCTTTGACTAAAAAGTAATGTTTCTTTAAAAACAAATTTAAAATAAATGAAAAGGACAATTTTCTAAACACTGACAAATAGCCCATTCTCTCACAGGATAAGAAAAATAATTAAGGGCTATTCCTACTCAAATTGGTTTGAAACCACAGCAGTATTTCAAAATGTCTGTTTACAAGGCTAAGTGCACTGTGCTCTGCAGTCTGAGTTTTATTATCATGCTTCTGTGAGCATCATGGACTACTTAATTAGCTGAACAAACTACTTTGGTACAGGTAGAACTATCAGTAGCTGGAAATTACTTTAAGAAAATACATAACAAAGCCAATAGCAATATGCCAAGAATCTACAGACATAGTTTAAGTATAGCATTTTTCTATGCAGCTTGATTTTCTTTTTCCTTCCCTAATTTAGTTTTCTTTTCAGCACATATAATGGTGAAAAATGTAGGTCAAATGTAAAAGAAATAAAAATAATAGGCTCTCACCCACTGGACCACAATCTCTGGCCACTACAGGTTTTTGTGCTGCTTTGGCTGTACAAGGGAGATGGAAAGGGGTTTTCCCCCTATGCTAGGGATTCTCCCAGGCTCTGGAAGTCTCTAGTGAGTGAAGACTTTGTGTAGATGGCTTCCACACCATAGTTTGTGAGCACACAAGGACAGGAACAGAGAGAAGAGGTGCAGAAATAGTGTCTGTGAAAACCACTGATCGGAATCCCCTTGGTACATAATCCACAAAGAACAGTTGTCTTTTACATTCCTCAGCTATGGAATTTAGTTTTTTAGTTTAAACAGTAGCAAACCTATCTCTGGGCAGTCCTGATTCACACTTGTGTCTCAGCCAAGATTGCAGGTTTCCCTTCTGCATAGCTCTTAGTAGGAACATTGCCAGCTGGCACAGATTAGATTAGAGTCTAATCTGTGTTTGGCCATGAAATGAAGTAGAAAGCTAGAACCAGAAAGTTGCAACCCCACTCTTATTCCCTGAAGCTGTTTGGAAAACAAAAAATCTTTGACAAAATGGTGGTGATCAACGTTATCTTCAAGAATTAGATATCTAAAATAATATATATTCTGCCTACTCATTTTCTTAGACCACTAATCATAATTAGCAAATGGTAGAATACAGCTGAAAATTCCAGCCATTCAGAAAGGTTAAGAAAATATAATGTAGTTAAGGAAGCCATTTGGGGAGCTGTCCTGCACTACTGAATAAATGGAAGCAAGACCTAAATTGTAAAAATCATTGTAAATGACCAGCATTAGCAAAACCATGACTGAGACTCCCCTTGCACACCCCATCCCCATTTTTTGTAATGGACTGGCCTTCTTGATCTGGCACCCTTACTTTGAAAGTGTGCCACAACGCTTAGGAGATCTTCTAGCAACCTATATTTGTAGCTGAAAATTAATTACATGGCTTTAATGTTATTCATATATGTGTTCCTTACTGGGTGCCCCTAAACATGTGATTAATATGTCTTAAGGTTACTGCACAGTAAATTAAGGTGCATTAAGCATAGGCTAGGAATACATCTGTCCGGCACAGATTTGTGCCCAGCGGAAGCAGTCAGATCCAGGGCTGCTCCTATCCTGCTCTGCCTCCCTGCAGCAGCCAGGGGGAGCTGCAGACTCCACCCAAAGTTGCTGAGGTGCCAGGGTTTGTGGGGGTAGGCTCAGACTGGCAGGGAATGCTGTCTGGGGAGTCTGTGGTCAGCACATCATGAACTCTCCCTGCCCTCCCCCTACAGCAGTGGTGGCCAGGGCACCATGTCCACGATGCACTTGTGGACTGCCTCCTTCTCCACCCCCTGCAGTAGGGCACCTGGAAAGCTACCCATGGACCACAGGCCCACAGAGAAACCCCAAGACTATGCACACTACAGAAAGCTAGCAACAAACAGGAAACTTTATTTCCCTCCACCAGACAATAGCAGACCTCCCTCCTTCCCTAACAGCATAACCCCTCCCTCCCTCCCTCCCAGCAGCACACCCTTCCCTAACCCCAACATACACCAACAATGAAGGACACACTTCCTCTGCAACTATGTACAATGTGCTTTGTCAACTGTTAAGGAGCGAACAGCTGGGCGGAGGCGTCTATGGCATGGATTCTGGAGAGAGGCACCCAATACTGTTACCTCTGGCAGCACTACCGCTAGTGCAGACACTGTGGCAAGGCCAGCAGGCTAGGGGCTCATCCAGAGGCAAAGGCAGGCACTGTCCAGTTCCCCCTCCTCCACCAGCTGCAGGTAGCTCCCACTCAGGGGCCACATGGTGGATGGGTGAGCAGCGGGCAGTGGCCCAGGTGGGGGGCCAGAGTGCCAGGTGACCCAGCTCATAAGTTGGGGGAGGGGGGCCTAGCTACTGCAGGTGGCACTGGAACTCATCCCAGAGCCAACTGCAGAGCTTTCCAGTGCCTGGAGCTTGGCACTGGGCCACAGGTAGCTGCCAGGGGGCAGGCAGGGCTGAGGACTCGACACAAGGCAGCATGAAGCTGACCACCATGGCCAAAACGGTATCCAGCACCTGGTGGCCTTCCTCAGTTGTCACCACTGCCTGGGCCACCATGGAGGCTTGCCGCTCCTGGGCCTCGAGCAGCCTCTTGTGGAGGGTGATGTGTTTCATAGTTTCATAGTAGCTAGGGTCAGGACAGACCTGAATAGATCATCTAGCCTGACCCCCTGCCACAGGCAGGAATAAATGCTGGCTTCACAAGACCCCAGACAGGTGATCATCCTCTTGAATTTGCCCAAGGTAGGGGCAAGGACCACTTCCCTGGGAAGTTTGTTCCAGATTTTGGCCACCCTAACTGTAAAATATTGCCTTCTGATCTCTAGCCTAAACCTATTCTCCATCAGCTTATTACCATTGTTCCTTGTCACCCCAAGTGGTGCTGGGGAGAAAAGGGCTCTACCTATTTGTTGTTGATGCCCCATGATGAGTTTGTAGGCAGCCACCAGGTCCCCCCTCAGCCTCCTCTTGCTGAGGCTGAACAGGTTCAGGTCCCTCAGTCTCTCCTTATAGAGCCTGTTCTGCTGCCCTCTCACCAAGTGGGTAGCCCTCCTCTGAACCCT